CATAAAAAGATAACCTTTATCTTTTAGCTTTTGCTAAACAAAGCAATAAGTAAATGCCTGAATACTTAGCAGGGCTAGATAAATCTAAAAATGGACGAGGGGGATAATTTGAAACAATGTATGAATGAATATTTGAATACAGCAGGCAGATATATGAGGTCTAAAGCTGTTAGTGGCAGTGTCAGACTTTCAGTTATTTTAGGTCTACTATGGCAATCATTCTATTCTATGTATTTTATTATTTAAAATCAAATATTTTGTGTGTTGGACTGCTGTTCTGACTAAGCAAGCTATTTGAAAATGTCACCATGGCATTTTCCACTGTATTTGACACTAATTGACAAACAATTCAATAATGAAAATAATGGTCATTTTCAGTCCTAGATACCACTCCCAATCTCCTGGAATGTCAATTTTTTTATTTACATTTTACTTTATATACCCCAATATCAAAATTTGCCTCAGGGTCTTCAGCGTAAAGCGCCCTCTGTCCTTAGACCCCTGATTCAAATAACAGGAGCAAAAAATTGAATAAAGCTCAGGAAGAGCAGCAGGGGAGGAATCCCTCTCCCAGGACAGACAGAAATAGATGCCGCGTATACAGAATAGATCAACATTGTAAAATTGCAGTTTGGACAATCATAGTGACAGAATTATAGATGGACTGTAAACATATATGAAGACTCGGGGAGGTGTAACCAAACAGACCTTAGTCACAAAACCCCCTCCACCATGGAGTCCTGGCGACCCGAGGGAGGACAACATGCACACAAGGGAGAGAGAAAGAGAAAGCCACACAGCTGTGCTTGTGGGACACAATCCGACAGAGGGTTAGAGAGATGAAGTAGAAGGTTTACAGTATTCTCGTCAGCAGGACAAGCACAGGATGGGACCTAAGGTTCAAAGCGATCAGACAGGTATGAAGGGGCGAGCCCATTTCCAACACCTTAAATTCTGATCTGACGTGGATACGGAGCCAACAAAGGGGAACTAAAATTAGTCGTATGTTCTAGTTTTAGTTTAGATCCTAGCTGCAGCATTCTGAGCCATTTGAAGACTTATAGTACTCTCAGGCAATTGGCCTGACAACAAGACACTACAATAATCAAGTCTGGATGAAAGAAACGCGCAAATTAGGGTCTCGTCATCAGCCAGGGACAGAGAAGACCAGATTTGAACTCTGTTGTGTAGGTGGAAAAATGTGCTGATAATTAGAAAGACCAAGATTGTTTTCTGTCAAACTTTGTAAGATCACAAAGTCAAGAGTTACTGTTGCTTGATGTCGAGCAGGGCCAATGACCAGCAGCTCAGTTTTGTCAGAATTTTATCAGACCTTGGTCAGTGCAATTTCAGTACAGTAGCAGTCTGAAAGTAAGTGATACATTAAATGAGACCTATTATACTGCATTTCCAGTCCTATATTGTAGTTCTGTGACTCCTGTATGGCAGCTTTGCATGATTCAAAGTTCAAAAAAATAATTTTCTGTCTTATACTGACTTTTCATGTAGGCCTTCATTTCAGCCTCTGTCTGAAACAAGCTGTAGATGCTCCTGTCTCTTTAACCCCCCCCCCCAAAGCCCACTGTCGTCTGTCGTCAGTACAGACAGACTGAGCGTAGCTGTGCGGAGCAAATGACCATATATGGAAAACCAGCTCTGCGTAGCTCCGTGGTTCGTAGAATAAACAGTTCAAAACAACGTTCACAACAGGAGGAAATCTGGGTTTTCGCTCACAGGGAATTCTTTTAAATACTTTAACCTCATTATTTGAAGCTTTGGCCATGTTTAACATGAACATCCAACATTGTAACGTTGTAGATAAGGCATAAAATGTGGAGAAGCATAATAGGTCTCCTTTAACAATATTCAACATTGTAGGTCCCAGAGGTGGCCAGAGATCTTTTAAACATTTAGTTTACATAATATATCAAGATTGGAAATTATATTGGAAAATAGACATATAAATTAAAGAGGTGGTATTATGCTCATTTTCAGATTAAAAATCTTAATTAGGGTTTACATGGTTTCATTTTCAAAAAACACCATATTTTTCTCATACTGCACATTACTGCAGCTCCTCTTTTCACCTTGTGTGTTGTACGCTCGGCTCTTGAGCTACAGAGTGATGCATCTTACTTGTACAAAATCTTTGTTGGGAGTTGCACATGCGCAGTTCCCAGGTAAGGACTACTAGCCAATCAGAAGCAGAGAAGGGCGGGTCGTAAGAAACAAGGTAGTGTGATCCAAATCAAAGCCGCTTCAGACTGAGAGCGTAACCTAGCAGATGGTGTAAGTTACCCACAAGTCCACATCATCATTGTTCCACATCTTACCATCAGGACTAAACGCTGAACTGTTGCCGGTGTTCTGACGATCTTTGCTGCCTTGTCGAAAAATGCTACCATAGCGAAAATCGATAGACTGACTCTGCTCGGCCCTGCTCCGTTTTCAATTGCAGACAGTACCCAGAGATAGTACGTAGCTTGTTGTCATAGCGACACCACACAAAACTGCCGCGATTTAATATTCAATGCGACACACACCAGTGATCCACACAGCTTTCTGTTTTTTAAGTTAAAACGTTTCAACATTCCTCAGAATGTAAAGACAGATAAGCGGTATGAAAAGCTTCCAGCTGTGTTTTCCTCTGCCGTTGTTGCTGCAGCGGTCTGTGTGACGGCGGGAGCAGAGGGCTCTGTGAGCGGGCGGCTGGCCGGCCTCACACGCTCCTCCCGCGGATCACAGCAGCCACTTGGCAAGCTTTATGACGCGTTTTCAGTGTGATGTCACAAGTAAAGGAAGTAAAGGCTGGACTACAAACAAGCTGTTTTCAAGTGGTGCAGAGCAGAGTTTTCTGTGGGAGATGGGAACTCCCTTTGGGCTTTTTCACTTTGCAAACCTGTTACATGCACAAAAACGGTCGAGGCAGATGGTCGCCCACCCTGAGCCATGGTTCTGCTCGAGGTTTCTGCCTCTTAAAAGGAAGTTTTTCCTTGCCTCTGTCGCCTAGTGCTGCTCTTGGTGGGAACTGTTGGGCTTCTGTAAATAGTCTAGACCTGCTCTTTTATGAAAAGCGCTGTGAGATAACTGTTGTTGTGATTTGGCGCTATATAAATAAAATTGAATTGAATTGAATTGAAAAAAGACATATAACTCAGTAAAGGAGAGGGGAAAAGCCAAAAAGCAGAATACCACCTCTTTAAGGCAACACCTCCGCCTTGATGAAATGTTTAAAATGTACCACGAGAGATAGATATTATATATATATTGATATGAAGGTAGTGAAGAGATTAACAGAAATTCTAATCTAGGAGGAGAAACAGTAAACAGCTGTTTTCAATCTCACGGAAATTACGATGGGCGTCACAGGAAGCAGTGTTACAGGGTCTCTGGAGTCAATGTCAGATGTACAGTCAACAGTTGGCCAAACATAAAAACATCCAGTCAATGTGATATTGTTATTGTTGGTGATGGTTTATTTCAGGGGTCGCCAAATAAGTCTGGCATCGGGCCAGTGTTTTTTTAAGCCGTTACATGGCAGGCCAGAACATAGTCTAATTATTTCAAATTCTTACATACTTGTGTGCACATTTAGCTCAGTCTCTACTGTGCGGGGCTCCCATCAGGAAGATTGTAAGATTGATTCCAACCAACTGTGGATGTTTTTTTTCTCCCTTGTTAAACAAATTGATTATAAAGACACTTTTGTACACGCTCACAATAAAGCATGTGCTGCAGTGTGTGCGCATCCCAGTTTTTGATCGCATTCAGAAACCTATGGACACTTATTTTAATTTTCCTGAGGAAATTCAGGGGAATCCAATCACACGTTTTACTGACGGCTTTTTCAGAAGTGTGTCAAGCAGGCTAGAGTCTCTTTTGAATTGTCCTTCAGAACTCTTAGTAAAAGTAAAAGCTCTCAATAAACTCGACATTAAGCATTGTTGCAAAAAACATTCTCGCGTTCATTTTGGAGGTCCAAGCACTTACTGTAGCTGTCATGACTGAGAGGCTGTGTGGTAGTTGACTAGTTTACTTTTATACCCACTGTTTTGCCAGTATGAACATATCAAATTATAATAGTAATAATTAACTTTATTTGCCTCACAATGCATGCGAAATTTGTTCTCTGCATTTAGCCCATCCTAATTTGGAGTAGTGAGCAGCCATTCAGCAGTTCCAGGTAGCAGTTAGGGGTTCAGGCCTTGCTCAGGGGCACATTCACCAGTGTCCTACCACTATCGTTGTCTGCACCATATCATCGCCGGTGTCGGATTCATATGTGGTCATTTCCTTTGTACCAACGACCAAAGGTGAAAGTACAAAGAGGGTTTATGCAAAGCATGAAATCTCATTTGCTAGTGTGATTTGTTTAGATGCATCACGTGGCGTACCTCGTCACTTCCTGATTTAGCTCTCCACTGGTGGCTCAGGCTGTGTCTGTGAGTGTTGTGTGTGTGATGAGTTTCAGATGTTCGATTTTAGTCTAATGTGTGAACAAAACAAATACATAAATAAACCTGACTTGATCTAGTGTTCAGATTTTGGTTCTTGAAATATCCAAATTACTGCATATTTAAGTATGTAGATACTACCTCATTGGTAGTAAACATACTCAGAAACCTGTAATCCAAAAAATGATTGTCTTAATAGAAGTAATCAACTAGGAAAGTATAATGGTGATATCTTTTAGTGACATTTTTACCTTATTCACCTGCTGTGTCTCACAGTCACATATATATTTTGTTTGTGGCACAGTGTGAGTTTTAGTGCCGGCTATACTGACAACTTTGATACATTGACTGGTATATGGGGCTGGGATTGCATGGGCAGCCTGAGATATGAATGATCCGGTCCAGATGATAACATATTTATTCTGCTGCTGTTATTGTCATTAACACTTTGGGTTTCATTGGACAGTTTAGTTCAGGTATTTACATGCTTTTTGTGAGACACTTCATTCTCTCTCTCTCTTTATCCCCTTGTCTCTCTGTGTACAGGTCCTTTGTAACAGGCACTGCATGCTGCGAAAACTACTCCCCTCTTCGCATCTGGGATGTTGAACGGTAAGTCAGGAAGCTGCTCTGACAGCTGCACTAAGCTCACATGGGCATACAGTGGAAAATAAAATAAAGTTAGCAGCACCTTCCCCAAAAATGAAGGTGCTGCCTAAGCCTCTGTGAGGCATGGCATGTGATTTCTGTTGGTGCAGTAATCTGCAAGGCACCACACATTTAGCAGAAATGGTTCATGTTACCTTGTGATAACTTCAGTCTCCCCATCAACAACAACATAAAAAACCTTTGTTTGTGGCAGTAAGTAGGCTAACAGCTGACCAGTGAAACCTGGCTTCTTAAGATGTTCATCAAGCTCGGACAGACAGCTTCCTAAAAAATTCAAAACAGGTTTCAAAAAGCAACAGTTAAAAGTGGCCTAGGTTATTAAATTAACTTAATCTTGTGTCATTTTTAAACAATATGTCAAGTAAGCCTCAACCGAATTTTTTTTGGCCTCTTATTACCCTGTTATGTAATTTTTACTGTAATATTCCCTGATACCCATTGCTAATACCAAGCTATCACCTAGTTATTACCTTTTGACTGTTTCTGACTGCAGATAACTCTGCTAGTCCAGACAAAGTGTCCTCTGTTGAGGCGAAGGCTCGTTTATTATGGCGCTTTTCCATTACCAGTACCAGCTCAACTCGCCTCGACTCTGCTCGGCCCTGCTCCGCTTTCCATTGCAGACAGTACCCAGAGATAGTACGTAGCTTGTTGTCATAGCGAAGCCACACACAACTGCCGCGACGTAATGTTCAATGCGACACACACACCAGCGATCCACACAGCTTTCTGTTTTTTAAGTTAAAACGTTTCAACCTTCCTCAGAATGTAAAGACAGATAAGCGGTATGAAAAGCTTCCAGCTGTGTTTTCCTCTGCCGTTGTTGCTGCAGCGGTCTGTGTGACGGCGGGAGCAGAGGGCTCTGTGAGCGGGCGGCACATTTTTGTTCCGCCATCACGTCAATATTGGAAATCTACACAGCTGATTTCTCACCTCAAAACTTCTCAGAAGTGGATTTAGTGATGAGATTCCATATGAAAACTGTAAAACTTTCTGTTGCTGGCCTCTGTCTGGTGCAGCAATGATGATGCAGTGAATGGTGAATATTCTCTCTGACCAATCAGCAGTCTGTCGTGTTTTCACTTCACATTTTACTATCCCTCAGCTTGCTTGGAACCTCGACGGAGGTGATACAAAAAAAAGGTACCTGGAAGCAGGTACAGGTGCAACTTTTCCACAATGGAAAACCAAACAAAGGCGAGTCGAGTCGAACTGGTACTATGCAGTGGCTTTAATGAGCAACAGACTGAGGCCCCATCCACACTACTCCTTTTTTGAGTTTTAAAACCAATATGATCTCCGTCCACAGCAGCGTTTTAGCTGCGTATCAGAGTTGATCTCCGTCTATATTAAAACAACTGAAAACGCACATTGAATGGCTGTTAACGTACACTGGGCATGCGCGTGCCGTGCCATTGTAAACATGAGGCTGATGGTCTACTCCGCAGCTGCTGAAGATTTGGCAAAATAATAAACTAGGTAGTACAGACGAAGAACCACACCAGATATTTTTTTTGCATGAACCAACAATGAGCTGGAACTGTTACTGAAAGTGCGGGAGTTTAAAGCGACTGTGGCGACAGAAAACAGACTGGGAGTCGTCGCAAAGTAAATACAGCAACATGAACAGTAGCTACAAGTGTAGGGGATAAGTGTCATTTGCACAGTACAAAATATTTTAATAAAAATACCAAATCAATACTCTGTCAGTAGCATTGTGTTTTTGCTTTGCGTGACTTATGAGACCCGAACAGAGAGCGCAAAAATGAGCGTCTGCTTCATCTTTTCAAAAGTCCTCCGTTTTTGCCCGCCTGCCCACCTTTAAATGAAAAACGGGGTGTTGTCAAACTTCTCTGTTTTAGGTCTTCATTTTTGCCGTTTTAGTCTGGGCGCGAGGCGCAAACGTAGCAAAAGGTCGTTTTAAAACAAAAATGTTTTTTTTCTGCTTTCTTGCCGATCATGACCAGACAGATTAAGGGAATTGAAAGCTGGCTTAGTGCTGCAGTGCTGATGAGGGGGTGTAGTCCAGGCTGAAAACCTATGTATTTAAGTCTGTTCAACTCAAAGATGCTTATGACCGCATGGATCCCTTCATAATAGTTCAATATACTAAGTGGTTAAATAATGCAATCAAACTCAGTATGTTTAAGTAATACTGTCTTGTGAATTGAATTAGAAAAAATTGCCAGCTAACAGTACGGGAGCACTTTGTGTTACTTCCATGAGATGGTAGATCTGGATGGGAATAAATTGGAAATGGCAGGATATTCCATTGAGAATTATACATTTAATCACAATCATGTCTAATGTAAGCAGGTGAGAACAAGATTCAAGAGTCATGTTTGTGTTTCTTTTGCAATGTTGTTTTATTGTATCAACAGTTCTGCAGTCCTGAAACTAGCAGAATAAGCAACAGTTGTGTCACTGTAAGTTTAGAGGTGTGAGAGATGTGGACTCCCGGGAACAAGTGTCCTTTTGATTTTTAGGGGTGTGTAGTTCCTCTGCTGCTTCCTCATAAAATGCAGGACCAGCTCCTTTGTTGTGCTGACATTCAGTAAGAGCTTGTTGGTCTCGCCTGAATTATTCTGTTTTTCCAATTCTTGAATCTCATACTTGAATAGATACTCATATTCCCATTAACCGAAGGCCGATTACATTCAGTTTCACATTATGAGATTATTACTGATATTGGAGCCATACACAGCTAATCAGCTAAACCAAGAAGCAGAAGATTTAAGCAGTGTATCTTACAGTGGGTTCTTAAACAAATGATTCCAAAAATGACTGCGTTTGATTAACATGATTATTAGCAGTTTACTCAGTCATCATCAAAAAAAAGAATTTGTGTTCCATTTTCATTTACAAAAGATTTGTGTGAGGATAAAAGTCCACAATGATTAAATGTCACTTTTAGCAGATGCCTTTTCACAGTTACACTTTTACTGATCTCATTAAATCATTTGTAAAGTAATTTGTACTCCACACAGTGTTACTGGTAAGGTTTCTAGAGAGCTTATGACGAAGTCTGAGACAGTGGGTTACGGTGGATAGCTGGAAACCCACTGTAGTACATATTGTCAGCTAGCTGCAGCACAGACAACAGTAGTAGACTCAGTGATGGTCTAACAGCGGTTTGAAGTGGTCTCTTCAGTCTTTTCTGGATATAACTAACAACTAACAACTAACTGATATTATATTTACATTTCAGGCGTAAGGTGTCTAATTGAAGCTGTTCCACCGCTAAAATGTCTATATCTAATTTGCCAGGTTAACATTCTCACATGGCTTCTGTTTATGTGAATTTTCCATGCACGCATCCATGCATGAATGCAGCATGAACAGTGTGGCCCTTTATCAATGCAAAGAACAAGTGAAGCATAGGTTTAAGAACATGGGACACACTAGTCTTGAGCAGGGACCAATTCAAAATGAGGGGCCTCTGAAAATTCCTGTCTCTGAAAGGTGAGGCTTAAACCTGATACGTCCCTACCGAGGCTGCTGTAATTCCCAGATTTACCTGGGCCAATTAAAACAGGCCGACACAACACAACACAAAAAGCTGGTTCCTGCTCCCACATGGTCTGGAAATCTGATTAGGGGAGAAGACAGGAAGCACACAGGAGAGTGACGGAAGGGATGGGTATGCAACTTATCTGGAGGTCGCAGGTGGTGAGCAAAATTAATATGGTTACAAGGTGTAGCAGACATAGATAATGCATCTGTCCTGTAAAGTCCAAGGGATTTGTTTTCTCCTATACGTGAAAAACTATCCCGCTGACATGGGAATGTATTTATGGTGGAACCAAATGTTCACAAAACCTTCCACAAAAATATCCTATGCTATTATTACTTGATCAGTTAATACTTGGTAAGCTAAAGATAGCAGGCAAGAATATTAAAGCAATACAATCTGATTAGAATTACAATTGAAAGAGAAACCCTGGTTGTATACATGTTAAAACAAATTAGCCTAAATATTTGACTAACAGCGCTCAGTAGAATGTTCATAGGTTAGGAGCATATTTAGAGAAAACTGCATTAAATAAACAAAAGGGAAACCTGTCCTTGCTCATGTCATCTTTTGACTATTCCCCATGCTTAGGTCTTGATCTTGACATGGAACATTTCCAACATGGCAGAAGTATTAAAGGTGGGGTATGTAATTGTGACATCCAGCACCATGACCAACACCCTGATATAGAGCAAACAACAACACCGCAAGTAATGTAACTAACGTTAGCAAAGTTGTGGGTTAGCAAACTGTCACTACAGTTGCTGTGAAGCTTACATGAAGTTAACATGCAGAGAGGAATCAGACAGTACCCCACCTTTAAGGCTCCATCCACACTACTCCGTTTTTGTTTACAAACGGAGAATTAAAATGAATACGATCTCCGTCCACACCAGCGTTTCCGCTGCGTTTTGGAGTTGATCTCCGTCAACATTAAAACGACTGAAAACGCACAGCTAGGACCCGTTCAAGTGCACTCGGCATGCGCATACCAGTGTAAACATGAAGCAGATCGCCTGTTTCGAAGTTACAGAAGATTTGGCGAAAGAATAAATAAATACAGACTGAGCATCAGACCAGTTTTTTTTTTTTTTGCATGGATCAATAACGAGCTGGGACTGTTAATGAATGTAACACAGGAGTGTGGCGGCAGAAAACAGACTGGGAGTTGTTGCAAAGTAAACGGCAACATGAACAGTACAAGTGTAGGCAGATGAGGTGTTATTTGCACAGTACAGAATATTTTTATAAAAATATGATGTTAAAAACCCGGACAGCAGCATCGTGTTTCTGCTTTGCAAGACCCAATCAGAGAGCCGACTGTGAGCAGCTGCATCATCTTTCTAAAGTCCTCCGTTTTGGCCCGTCTTCACTAAAACGCCCTCCGGAGTTTTGAAACGCAAAACGGGGTCGGCAGTGTGCAAACTTCTCT